AACAAGTGCATCGCTAGTAGTAACAAGTGCATCGCTAGTAGTAACAACTGCATCGCTAGTAGTAACAAGTGCCTTACTAGTAGTAACAAAAAGCTATTAGACACAATAAGCTAAACATTGTTACTACTAGAGGCACTTGTTACTAGAAGCGATGCACTTGTTACTACAAGCTTCTTGTTTCTAATAGTTTGCTACTACTAGCTTCTTGTTACTAGTAGTAAGGCACCTGTTACTGCTAGCGTGGCACCTGCTACTAGGAGCAGTGTTTGCTTGAGACATCTGTGCAACAATCCGGCAGCTCAGAGACTGATGGACCGAAGTAGTGGTGTGACGGACAACAAATCACGCCTGCTCATGCATCGTTCAAACATTGCCCGTTGAGCCTGAGCAGGCAAACATCTACCATACCAGTCTAAACTGCAGCTTCTCTTTCTCTTCAACTTTTGTGTTTCGCTTCTTCCCCCCGTTGATTTGTTTGTTGAAATAACAGGATCGTCGTCTTAATTTGGGGCAAGAACGAACAAAAGAGAAACTGTGGCCTCGAGGCCAAACATGCATCTCTTCTCAGGTTCCACGTTTATTAGAATTTCTTGGAAGTGCCTTGTGTGCTCAGGGAAGCATAGAAATTGAAGAGGAGGGAAGGAAAGTCCTAGAGGTCGAGGCCATGGTTGATGGTGCTTTCGCAGGCGGCTGTTGGTGCTGATGCACGAAAGACAAGTGCTTGGCACTAATAGCTTCTTGTTACTACTAGTAAGGCACTTGTTTCTAGTAGCGTGGCACTTGTTACTACTAGCTTTATTGTTACTGGTAGTAAGGCAATTGTGTACTAGTAGCTTCTTGTTACAGTAGCTTCTTGCTCCTAGTAGTAAGGCCAGGAGCCCCTAGTAGCGTCCTTGCTCCTAGTTTCTTTCTTTTTTGTATAGTTTGGTGGCATTGGGTTGGGTTTCCTGCCAAGAACTCATGCATCTCAGGGAAGCCTCTCTTCTGGGGATATCCTCCCTTCTTGGCGTGTCAGCAACTCCTTGGACCCCACACCACTCGGGCCCACTCGGACCTCAGCCGTCTTCATGAAAACGTTTCCGACCAAGCACAGTTGGCCGTGCGTTCTCAGAAGTCATCTCAAGTCCAGTCAACTATGGGGCAATTCCCTGCAACACAGCGGTCTTTTTCTTGTGGAACGCTGCGAAAGGTTGCATCCAATTAGGACAGTTCACATCTTCCCCAAAAGGGATGCCTCTGTGGCCTTGAGCCCAGAAGGGAAGAATCGGGGGAATCCCTAAAGATGGCCCGCTTCCGAATTCGAACCAACACCAACACCAAATATCCCTGTTTACAGGCATTGATACAGAGGCCGACTGGACTGATATTTTTGGAATCCTCCATCTTGAGACATTCCCATGTGCTGAGATTCCTCCATGTTTAAGGGATCTCAGCGGCAAGTTCTCCCAGGCCTTTCAGGGCTGGGAGTGCCACAGAATCCTGCGACAGTGGGGAATTTCCAGGTTCATGTCCCCTCGCAAGTGCTGAACGCAAGATGAACAAACAGCTTCAACAGCGGATCAAATCTGGATCAACACCTGGAAATGGCCCTTACTAGAGTGCGAATTCACCTGGTCCTTGTGCGAACCTCTCTGCACGAATTGTGCACCAGCGCGTGGGAGCTGGCACCCAAAAAAAACAGCCGATGGGAACGGTCGTTTTGAGCCTCTCTTCTGGCCGAGCGCCAAAGGGAGCTACAACCCTATGCTCAGGACCTTTAAAATCCCCCAGAACAGACCTATTTTCGATCCTGTATTCCTTCATTTGGCAGCTTGTCCTGGGGGGCTAGAGCTAGAGCAGCAAATGCAGCGCATGTCAATAAGCATAATCGTTTGGAGCTTCACCCCTACACAGGGGAGTCAACCACTGTGTGAAGCATTCATTTTTCGCTGCACCTGTGCAGCCCCCCAAGTCATCCTAACTTTGAGGATGCCAAGCAGGACGCTAAGCGTAGCTAAGCGTAGAAGGTGGTCGTCGACGTGGTGGTCGTAGTTTCATTTCTGGGGCAGAGCCGCCAGCCAGCGTCCACGACCGAAGCATCCGAGGACCAAAACCTCGATCCCACATAGCCGACCTTCTTAGGCTGTTTACTGTTTAGTCGTTGTTTTACCAAACTGTTTTGCATTGCAATCCTTGTGACTAGCCAGAAGGGTAGATGAAACGTGGACAATGAAATGTGTCCAGCTTTTTTGAAGGGGTTACGGGGTCACGATGAAGAGTGACCCTAATTCCCGAAGTACAGTAGGAAGACATTGTCCTTTATTTTGGAAGCCTTGTTCACGATCAACCGGAGATGGAGACGTTTCTTGAAAACTGCGATCGAAAAACCTAACCTACTGAAACCCCAGAATTCCAAGCTTCAAAAGCACCAGAAACCACCGGAACTGCATCTCATTGACTTAGAACGTCCGTGTTTGACCAGTTCTTTTCCATTAACACCACAAACAAATATATATATATATATATTCATTTCTGGACAAGAATGCTGTTTTCCGGAAGACCAAGCGCGGTTGGGTCGAGTCCCATCACCTTCCGCCCTCCTTCGTCCTTCCCCCCTTCGCCGCCCCAAGCGGCAATGAGTTGGTGGGGACAACACCTTCTGGTCCTCGGCTCCCGTGATAGGCCTCAGCGACGTGCATCGGCGCGTGCGCGTCGAAGCGAACGGAGCGTGAACGGACGCATCGCTACGAACGGAGCGTTCGGACGCTACGAACGGGGGCTCCTGGTCTGGAGGCCATCGCTACTAGGTTGGAGGCTGACACAGTGTGACAGTGACACATGGTGTGACAGTTGGTCGCCTGTAAGTTCCTCAACCAAACGTGAAACCTTACGTGCACCAATTGACTGCTCGGTGGCCAAAGTCCTCTTTCAATGAATGAACATCAGGAAGTTTGCCCTCTATGTCGATGTTTGAGCACATTTGAGCACGCAAACACAAACTCTCTCAGCCAAGTACCAACCTCGAGAATCTTCCTTACTCCCCAAATACCAATATAATTTGATCGTTTTCAGTGCATTGAACAAAACAGGTTTTCTGAAATCAAGAGAAACCTTCCAGACCAACCCCTTGCAAACATCCACCCCAACTGGCCTTGCAATCCACGTAGAGCTTATCGAAACCAATCTCTGTCGAGAAGGAGACCACTTCAATGGGCACTGCAGCTGCGGCGTTCACCGCCACCTGCGGTGCCAAGGGCCCCAGTCAAGTCTAGGCAAACGGATTCAAACGGGTTGTTCGTGGTCGTTGGGACCAGTGGCACCCCCCGTTTTGAACGTGTTCAAAAAAGAATGGTGTGTGTGGTTCTCCTTCCTCTTTTCCTTCCCTTTCTTCACCAATTGGTTATCGCACCTTACACTGCTGGTTATCGCCGTAGGAGTTCGGATAGTTCGGACTCAGGAGACAGTGTGCGGCATCGACGCTGCAGGGCCCGCGGAGCACCGACCACATGGCGCCGCGGAAGTCGACGTTGGAGTAGTCGTCCTCGACGGAAGCGGCGGTCCGTGTCGTGTTGAGCGGTTCGGCGTCGGAGATGGAACGAATCCGTGTGTTTTGTTGAAGCCAATAAATTTTTTGGGGGGCTGAATAGGCTGATAATAACCTAAAGGACCTTTAAACCTAAAGGATATCATCATATTATAACTATAACATTTACTACCTATTATAATCATATAAATCGATAGGACCCACTCGATGATCGTGACCAAAGAAAGATGGGATCGTGAGTTTCTTCAGACCTGATCCTCTGGCTTGGCCCGTTCCAACCACATGGGTTCCGTTCGCTTGCTGCATCCCACACACGCTGCTGGAACTGGACCGAATCGAAAATCAATCTTCGCTGCGTTTCAACATCTCCAATCCCAAAAGAAAGTCGATGTAGAAGCTACTAGGTGGAGGCCATTGCTAGTAGCTTAGCAGCTTGGAGGCCATTACTACCATGTAACCAGAAGCTACGAGCGTAGCTCTTTGCTTCCAAATCGATGTCCACAGGTCCTCGCTTCCTTCCGTCGGCGAGTCCTCGCTGTCAGGGGTCCTCGCTGTCGTCCACCGCGTGGGCTTTCCGAATCTTCCCCTGCATGGCATCGTTGATCCACGAAAGCACAGTGACCACCCGGCCATAGACTCCTGCCGGTGGAAAGACATCAAACAACACAACTCACGAGTTGTAGATCAGAAGATATGGATGAGTCCTGGATGAGAACATCTGAGAGGAAGGAAATGGGCTCTCAAATCTTCTTAGGTTTGGTTTCAATCCACAACTAGCTCAAGTGCTCAAGATACTCACATGTAACAAAACGATTCACACCTGAACTTGCCGCACGACTTGCGTTTGCAGTTTCATTCTGCCACACAACTTCTGCAGGCTCCACCCCTTTGCAGCACTCCTGGAAAGCCCTCATAGGCGCAGCCCTGACCCCAAGATGTCACCCCGCGAAGCACGAAGCGCTTCCCTCGCATGCCTTTGACTTTCTCCTGGAGCGAGCGACCGTGTTGGACGAAGCCAGCTGGATGAGGTGTTGGACGAAGAAGTTGAATTGAAATTGCCCTGAACCAACCTAATAGCAATGGCCTCCAACCTAGGAGCGTCCTTGCTCCTAGTAGCGATGCCAGGAGCCCCTAGTAGCTTCTTGTTCCTAGTAGTAAGGCCAGGAGCCCCTAGTAGCGTCCTTGCTCCTAATGGCAATCACCTCCAACCTAGGAGCGATGGTACTGCCCTTACTCAACTTGAACTCATAGGTCCAAAATCATCGATGTGATCTGGTCGAACTGCTACCCTGCTGCAATCACTTTGAGAATGGTGCTGCCATTGCCCATCCACTTACGCTTAGGTCCGAAGGTCGTCAAGGGGGCCATCGCTACTAGGTTGGAGTTGGAGGCCATTGCTATTGGTTCCTTCTCTATTATGTAGATTCCTTTTGCTATTAGGTTGGAGGCCATCCGAAGGTCGTCAAGGCAACTTCGTCTCGAATCCGTTAGGATAGAATGTGATAGACCCACTGACCCACTCATCCCACTCACTATATAGATCCGATCCTCATCTCCCATGACTTGGACCTTCCCTGCTTTGGTCAGCCAAGAAGTACTGATCCATTCCTTTTGAAGGATTTAGGCTAATCTGACCTTCAATTGAGGGATGTGCATCTATTCTGTGTATCTTGCTGAGGAAATCGGTTCTCCACTCAAGCAGCGGAAAAGTACTTCTGGTAAGTCTTGTATGTGTGTGTTTCTTTTTTCTCTGGGGTGTTGTGGCACGAAGTTCAATCCTCGAGCAGTTGGGCAGTCTTGGGTATGCGACTTGCTAAATGCCCTTCTATCATGGGAAAATATTGGATGATGTAACAACGACTATCTGAGACCAAAGGAATTTCACCACTGCAGGCTCGATTAATTCCAAGAACAGCAACAAATGTACTAAACGACCAACCTGGGCATGTGAAGCTGTTAAGATTGGGGTAAGCTCAATGGTGGTGTGTGACGCAATGCCCATGTTCCTTCAAACGTCTTCAAAATACATTGTTTGAAAAAAAAGAGGGACCCCACTGGTAGAACCAAAGCTTCGACTCACAAGCCTCCAAAAGGATTGTCGGGCTACGCTGATTGCTAAGTTCTTTTCAAGTTTGATTGCTAAGTTCTTTTCTAGTCTATGAATGTCTACTCACTGACAAGGTATAAAATGAAGGTAGTATGATCAGACTTCAGCATGTCAAGTCCCAGGCCAGTTACAAGAATTGCCGAAAATCTGATGTTCGTGCGCACTGGTGTATGTTACACGAAGTTCTTCCTGCTACTACTAGCCAACTAGCCCAAACACTTCTCTTTCAGAATGAGCCTTTCAATGAGGAGGGTGCACCAAGTGCAAGGAACACACCAAACGCCCTCACTGGTGGCCCTCCTGGCAAACCAAGGGCCCTCCACTGTCGCCCTGGCAGGTGTCTGTGATGCCAGTCCGCGAGTGGCCGCGGGCGCAAAGCATTGAGCCTCGCGCAGCTGCGGCGCAGCCGGACACCTCCCCCTTACTGCAGCAGCACCCTTAAAGCCTTAGAATCCACATTTGGGGATCATTGATGAAAAGGGCAGAACCTTGCTAGGAGCAAGGACGCTACTAGGAGCAAAGGGCATCGCTACTAGGAGCAAGGGCGCCACTAGTAGCTCCTGGCCTTACTACTAGGAACAAGAATCTACTATTAGGAACAAAGGGCATCGCTACTAGTGAAAAGGGCAAAAGGAGAACTGAGTTTCTACCAAGACTTGGTAGGACACCATGCGCCGGTGTTCGTCACCCAGCCCAAGTCCCTGCCTGCGATAGTCTCTGTGTAGTTCTGCTCACAAACCTGGAGGGCTTAACTTTCAGCCGTTCAATTAGCTAAACAACTTTCAAATCCATGAGGTATCGGGCAGTTTTGCAGGGGGTTAGGACTCAAAGACTCAGCTCCCTGTTCTTGGTGAAACCCGCAACATATGCGTGTCTTAGACCTCTGCTTCAGGCAGCCTCGTTAGTCCGACAAGACATGACAAGACTTCCGACTCACCTGTCCGTTCCATGCGCCTCGTTACTCAACAAGGACACCGGTGCTTCCTGTAACAAATCCGGTGTCGGCCCGGAGGAGTTCAAGGTGCCCCAACCTGGCGCGCGGAAGCACGAGTCGCGCCGAGTCCGTCGCGGAAGCCGAAGGCTGAACTTCGTGGTGAACTCTAGCGATGGCCTCCAACCTAGCTACTAATAGCGTCCGATCGCTCCTAGAAGCGATGCCAGGAGCCCCGTTCGTAGCGTCCTTGCTCCTAGTAGTAAGGCCAGGAGCCCCTAATAGCTTCTTGTTCCTAATTGCGATGGCCTCTACCCTAGGAGAAGCAATGGCCTCCAAGCTAATTGCAAAAGGAACCTAATTGCTCTCCGAAAGTTTTGTGTCCAACCATGCAGGACTCGGGAAAAACAAAATCTTTGTGCTTTGTGAACATGCTCAGGTCTAGCTGAGTCAACCACAATGCAGTTTCATATGCTCAACACATCGTATCTTATAAACTTTGGGGGCTGAACATTCACGTCAACTGCGAAGCTACGAAGCCCATTGCAGTTGACACAGAAACATCGAAACCACAAGGCCCGTCGAAGCAAAGAACTCAAATCGCTCAAGTACCGGAGATCTTCGCCTCGACTCATGCCGACATGTCTTCCTACCGAAAATCCTCTATCCCCCACCTGCCACTCTTTGTATGCAACTGCTACCCGAAACTCTGGTGCCTGTGATGTTGCAGTTGGCGCCAGGCGTATCCAGATCTCTTGGCAGGCACGCTACCCCTATGCAATGATTGATGGGCACTGGCTTGTCCAGCTTCATCAAAGCAAAGTCATAGTCGTGAGCAACATTGTTTTGGTACCTCACTGAATGGGTGATATGATCTGTGTTCTCCACAGGGTGCAACACATCTGAGTTTGCCCATTTGCCAATGTCTGTTGAAAGGCCGATGTTGAATGTGGCAGATCTCCTAACGGGTTTTCTTGGGTTTGCTGGCAGGCAAGCAAAAACAAAAGCAAACCCTCTGTACTTCTCCACCTCTGCAAAATAAGCGCATGCTAACAATTCAGGTGCAGGTGCAATGGATGTGTGAAGATCTTCACCACCTTAGCTTTGGCTCGGCGAATGCCGCCTCTAGGAACATCTTCCTTCACAATTGCATGGAACGTGGATGTCGGTGGACACACGGGATTCAGGGGACGGCTGTTCTTGCTTACGCTGATCGTAGTCATGGAAGGATTTCCATGAGAGCAGGTAGCAGGTGCGAAAGGCCCTCTGGGTCATCAATCAAAAGCAAGTTCAGACTGCCAAATCAACATGATAAGAGAAGAAGGGTCCAAAAAACAAGAAAGAAAAGGTCCAAAAAGTCGATACAAAAGAATGATCGGATATCTAAGGATCTTAAGGATCTATTTGTTGCTAGTAGCGTCCTTGCTCCTAATAGCGATGCCCTTTGCTCCTAGTAGCTTCTAGCTACTCGTAGTAATGCCCTTGTTACTACTAGTAAGGCCCTTGCTACTAGTAGCTTCTAGTGAAAAGAAACTGCTGACAACGTCAGGCCACCCGTCGCTGCACTGCCACCTTCCGGTCGCCCGGGATCTGCTCGCGCCGGTGCCAGGCGCCTGCCCCGATCCGGAGGTTCTGCACCTCACCTGGAACGGATCCAACGGACCGGTTCTGCACCTCTTTCGGCCTCCTAGTAGCTTCTTGTTCCTAGTAGTAAGGCCAGGAGCTCCTAGTAGCGATGCCCTTGCTCCTAGTAGCTTCTTGTTACTACTGTTAAGAATGCTCCTATTAGCGATGCCAGGAGCCCCTAGTAGCATCCTTGCTCCTAGTAGTATGGCCAGGAGCCCCTAGTAGCTTCTTGTTCCTAGTAGCGTCAACACCTTACAAGCAATGGCCTCCAACCTAATTGTCGCCCCCCCGATCCTTGCACCACCTTGAAAAAGAACACCTGCACCTTACAAGTTCGGTCTCACAGATGTTGAAAAGGCTCTTTGGGACTTGACGTTTTCCATGCCCCGTGATGACAGGATGCATATTGTATACTCCAAACTGCCCAATGTGGTGCTGGACCATCTGTTCGTTAACTGCCCAATGTGGGGCTGTACATTGACCGGTTCTTGAAGCCGGTAGCTTAATTTCGATGATCCTGGATGAATGTCGAGTTCCTCCAACCCAAAATTGATGGCCTCCAACCTGAAAGCGATTGCCTCCAACCTAATAGCGATGGCCTCCAATCTAGTTGTCAAGAATTCATGCCCAAAGCCGTACGCCGTACATGTCGCACTGGCTGTTGCATTTCAAAAAATGTGCCCGCCCGTAATTTTCTGAGGGGGTCTAGAGCAAAGCAGCCCGCAAAACTGACGAAGTCCACGGGTTTTCCGCCGTTTCGAGATGTCTGGGTCCAACATGAGCTTGATGAAAATATGGTTCCAGGGCAATGCAGGTGTTGGTCACAGAAGCAAACGGCTCAGGAATGTGTTGCCCTTTGTTGTCAGTCGTATTTTTGGTGCCGAAAGCGTGGTGTTATCATGTTGTCAAAAAAATAGAACACATTGCTCATCTCAAAACTGAAGGCTCAATAAGTCCTTTGTCCGCTCCCCTCAAGGCAAGTTGAATGCCTTTCAGAAAGTTCCATGTTTTTGTTTCTGCGTCCTTTATCAGAAAACCAACTATCACCAAGTCATTTTTGTTGATTCATCAGGTATGGAGCGGTTTGGCATCACCATCCATATGGAGGCCATCGCTAGCAGATTGGAGGCCATGGCTATTATCTAGGTTGGAGGCCATCGTTATTAGATCGTTTCTGTAACCTGCATTTTTGGTAAATAGAGCGGTTTGGCCTCACCCTCCATGTGATTTTGTTAATCCCTCGCACGTAGAGGACTGCTGCCATGGAACAAGTGCTGCGCACGCCCCAAACACAATGGGCAGCTGTGAGGACCCACTCAGGGCTGATGAGGGTGCCCCCGCAGAACTGGCCATCGCTGGTTGAGCTCAAACTCACCTGAGGTGATCTTCGAAGCGGAACTCCAACCTAGCGATGGCCTCCAACCTAATAGGAATGGCCTCCAACCTAGTAGCGATGGCCCATCAAGAGTTCTTTGGTGAGTGTGTTGTTTCATTGTTCTTCCCGCTTTGGAGTGTGTGGAAACAATTCCTGTTTCTAGTATTGCGACTGATCAACTTGAACAAGGACCATGCCATGTGCCACATCTGCTATTCGCTGTTGACATGAAGCTCGCAAATGCAGAATCACCCATTGGTCTTCAAGGCTTCTCATCCAACCACCACCCACCACAGCATAACTGTGGCACTCCAGCCTGCCATCTCCACACGCATTGATCAGAGTCCTCCCCATGGACGATGCGCTTACCGTCGCCCTTGGGTCTCCTCGCCCTGCCCAGCACGCCACACTGCGTGTACTGTCGGCCCTGGAGCAAATCCGCGGCATCTGCCCCGGCCCAAGTAGCGATCAGGAGAAGGTAATGAAGGCGTGACATGGCTCTGGAGCGCCACGCTTCTTGCGCAGCTTGAGTCCGAAGTGACGCAAAGGAAGCAATCAAGTTCCTCCAACCTCCTAGCGATGGCCTCCAACCTACCTCCAACCTACTAGAGATGGCCTCCAACCTAGTTGTTTTCTCCAAGCGTCTCTTTTCTGCTTGGCACCCACAAACAAGTGGCCCAAGCTTGAAAAGGCCGCTCAAGCGTTTTTCCTTTGGACATGAAGCGTCGCACGCTTCGCTACCTGGTTCACCCCGGATGAGGGTGTATCCTCCAGGGTACCGAACGACTCCCTATGGGTCGGACTCAAACACAGGACGGACCTCCCTGACCCGTCGTTTGAGTTCGAACGGTTGACCCGTCAAAGTCTCCATGTTGCTCTCTAAACCGGAACTCTTGAGTCCGCAGCAGGCTGAAAATCAGGAACTCTTCCGTTTGGCTGTTCAGCAGCCTCCAAAGCACGATCCCAAGACCCAGTGCTCGGACCCTCGTGGGTGCTGTTTTTCTAGGACAACTTCTTCAAGACCTGCCTGCAAACCGCACACAAGGCACACAATCCAAGATGTGCATTAAAAACTACACATCCATCCAATTGTCCAATCCTGTTCACACAACCAAGGTGGGACAGCTTTTCTTTCTCGGCGTGTTGCTGCCAACGTCCGGCTCGGCTCCGACGACGGCGGCTCCGACGGCCTGGTGACATGTTCCTTCACCACACGCCGCTGCTGGCAGTGCTCCTCCACCTTTGGGCGCGACGTCCACCAGAGCGGCACATGGGGAGCCCCGGAAGCCCGGTATCGTCTGAGTCGGTCAAAGCGAGTCGGATGAAAAGGGAAGATGTCCCAAGCAGAGAAAGGCGCAAACATATCAAGAAAACAATAAAGTTTCGGAAAGAATGAAAATACAAAGCGATTCGACACAAGGAGGATTTCTGTGAAAGCCTTCTTGTGAGTACGGTCCAACAACTTTGCTCTTCTACCTGGACCGCGGATGCACAAAAGGGCTTGAAAACAAAAACAACACCTGTTGTAAGGCACCGCAACAGCACAAACTTGAGCCAATTTGTTTGCAATTTGGTTGGGAGACTAGAAACCGTGGGCAGCAAACCCCTCAAATCATTCTTCCCCCTCAGCCTCAACAGTACCAGTTGAACCACACACAGTTTGGTCCAAACACGCTTGGAAGACATGATGCACAAGCGGGTGATGCTTGGGGACTGCGCATGTCCAAGAAAAGCACCTCGTTTCTCCCGATCAGCTCCGATGTGCTGAACCCCGATGTCTGGGAGTTCCGGACGACTCTGGCCAACTGTTTCGCTGCTTGCCGCTTCTCTTGCTGATGAGAGACAAGCCTGTGAGATGACTTTGTTTGACAGCAAAGGACCCATGGTGACCTATGGCCTATGTGGGGCTGCTTTGAGCAGTCTTCGTGACCTGTGGAAGTTTATGGGACTAAGCAACAAAAAACGTCTGGCCGCTATAAAGAAATTGAGATGGTGGTTGGTTAATAATTCTTTCTTACGGAGACGCCATTCTTGGCAAAAGAGTCTTTACTTTCGCAAATGTTTACGAACTCTATGTTTGACTTTTCCGGGGGAAAGGAAACACAAACTTTACTTTTGCGAACTCCAAAAAGAAAGAATAGCAAACTAATTACATAAGAGGCTCTCAATGAGCCCAGGCCTTATGTTGACCTTTTGATCAACTAACTTCACTGCTTCACTTCGCCGTTTCTTCATGGAGCCATCTCACACCGAAGCAGTGCGCAACACAGCCACGGATGAGTGTTTCGGGCAAATGCCATGCTGCGTTCGTCACAAAGTCATCACGGAAAAATGCTCACAAGTCGACAGAAAATCGCAGTCGGTCACCGTCAGAGAGCGACCATCGTGACATCAGGGCGAATGATGACGACAGACCACCCGACGGCTCAAAGCATAGTACCTGACGAGTCCTTGGCCAGCTTTGCCCGGGGCCTGTCCGTGCTTTGTCCGCTGCGCTGCTGCGGGCCCTGCTTGTCCTTTTCCAGGCTCTGTCCGGGTCTGCTTGGCAGCGCTGCCTTGTCCAGCCTTGTCCGAGTCTTGTCCGGATCCGTCTTTCCTGCTTCTCCGCGTTGTCGCTTGTCGGGGTTTTCGTGCGGCTGTGAATGCAACAGTGGTGCAGCGTTTCAAGTTTGATATCGCCCTCTGATGTTCTCATGACACATATCCCTTCATTTGTGACCTGGGAATCAGGAACTATTGTTTTCAAACAGTGCCATTCCCAAATAGCTGGAAACTATAGGAATATGATTACAAACGTTGCGCCACCAACATTGGAATTCAAGGAGTTGACGCAAAAAGACCCATGCGGGCCTGTTTGGGGTCGATGCGGGCACCAATTGTTGGACTCGGTTGGACTCGTGTCGAAGGACCCGAAAACAGGTCCCCTTTCCGTTAGTCCTCTAGGCCTGAAACCTCGAAGCAGATAGCGGCCAGCGATGGCCTCCAACCTTCCGTTAGTCCTCTAGGGCCAACAGGGTCGTAGAGGACTTTCGTTCAACTGGCCGTTGCCTTAGTTTCCTTTTGCACTCAAGTAAGTAGACTCTTGAACTTGCACATGTTAATAGATCTTTTTGGACAGGAGCTGGCTCTGTATCTCTATACATCCATGCAGGTTGCAGGCGGTCTGCACACCAAAATTCAGGGCAGGCCGTTGCTGTCATTCAGAACCAGGCTGCTCTATACAGAAAGAGAGTGCAGTCTGCACACCAATTCTTCGGGGCAGGCTGTCCTCAAAATTGCTAGGCTGCGACTCCGGATTCTTGCGCAAATCATTCAGGCTGACTTGGAAAGAAAGTTCTCACATACTATATATATATTATATATTATAATTGTCATAATGAAAGACCTTAATGTCCATCCAACACAGGAACACTGGGTTTCCACTCGACCTCTCAGCACACATGAGGGCTGCCAACCTGCGTGCATCATCCGGTCTTCCCCAAATTCCAGTGGTGTGATTCGACAGTTTCGAATCCGAAGACGTCGAGCCGGTTTTGCTCGAACTCTTCGAGCCTAGGCCGTTTGGCAGCAAAGGACTCGTCGGCACGTCGCTCGGAGGTGACGTCCGCTGGAAATGACCTTGGCCAACTTCTTGAGCACTTTGGGAAGCTCATCAGAAAAGTGACCTGCAAAATCCACCACCGTAGTGATGGTTGCAAAGAAGGCGATGATGCCAGCGGTGTCCCAAAGAGCGTGCTCATTGCTTTTGCTCACCAATGCCTCACGGGCTAAGCGGATGTCCTCCATGTTCCTGGACAAGACTTCCCACACCATCAACATTGAAAGCTTTGCAAGGACATGCCTCATGAGTCTAGCAAGTAAGCTCCTACTGAGAAGAAACAAAGAAACAAAAGCATCAAAAGCCTTTGCTTTTCCGTGAATTGTTTTTCGCTTTCCAGGACGGCTTCCACTGAAAGAGATCTCGCCAAGTTGCTCAGGTGACGCCACAGCCGCCGCCAATTCACTGATTTCAGGATGCAAAGGATGAAATCCGCCAATAAGCGCAGTTTCAGAGACCAGCGCCATGCTGATATGAGCCTGAGATCAGAAGTTGCATGCTTTCGCGGTGGTATAGTCAGCTGCGGCCACTTCCAATTGCCCGCGGTTCAATGTCCTGTCCACCCCAGGCACCTTCATGAATCGCGGGGCTTCTGTGATGGGAACATACATCACATGCATAAACTTCAAGAATTCCCAACAGGTCAAAGGTACTGCGCTCGCTTTCGAGGTAGGTCCTTGTGGACTGTCTCCGGCAAAGCTCATGAGGCCCCTGTCAATCTGAAACTGCTTCAAAATGCCTGGCCTCAGCTGTCCCGTGGGCAAATAGGGACCCCACGCGATGCTCCGGTTCGTCTGCAAGGTGCCCGTGGCATAATCGGAGACCCGCTGAAAATGGGCCGCTTGGCATGGAACAGGCTTGCTGGGAAGAGGAGGAGCTTCCAAACCACAAGCGGCACAGAAGGCCCTCACGCCTGCACAAAGTGCAGCAATGGTATTCAGCTCGACTGCCATCGCCTTGAAATCGTCCTCCGATTTCGAGACTTCCATGGCACTACATACAGCAATCAGGAATTGCTGTGAAAACTGCAAGAAATCCATGTCCTCTTAAATGGAATCAATTACAAGTGCCACGCTAGTAGAAACAAGTGCCACGCTAGTAGTAACAGGTGCCTTACTAGTAGTAACAAGAAGCTACTAGGAACAATAATGCATCCATGTCCTCAACCGATGTCGTTTTTCCGAACCCGGAGCATCCCCGAACCTTGTGTGGCCAAAACACCTCGAAACATTGTGCCTGTGCTTAGACCGAAGTAGCTGTGTCTCAAACCGGTGCCACACCGACTGCCAGGGCAGATCGGCCTTTGAGGATCGCAATGGCTCTGCTCGAAAGCACCGACAAAAACACACGAACACTTCGGCGCCGGCTTCGAAGCTTCGGCGTTCAAGGCTGTTTGTTTGGTTCGACGTTTTTGGCCGTTCGGAGTCGAACCGAAGCAGGTTCGGTGAACTCTGAGGTTACAGCCGAAGAGCCAAATGGCCCTGGCGAATTTCTAGATTTCAGGAAGCAGCTGCCCAGATAAGAACATTTGAAAACTTGGGTAGTTCAGAAGAAAACGGACTGGGATAGCGCCAGTAGAACAGAATCGAACAGCAGAAGAGCAGCCAAACAGTCCAGTCCGAGTAAGCCAAAGCAACAAATCACTCCAAGTCAAAGCGCAATGGCCCACGGCCCAACTGACTTCAAAGTAGAGTAGCGTCTAGAACCCGCGGTGGAACTCACCCGGACAGCTCACGGCTTGCCACTTCGCAAGCAAGCTGTGGCACTGTGGTATTTGCCCTGGGAAAATCTGGCAAGTAGTTCAGAGGTGGGGAATACGTTTGCAAATAGGTTGGAGGCATATGGAGGCCATCGCTATTGGGTTCCTTTTGCTTCCAATGTTGGAGGCCATTGAGGCCATTGGATAAATCTCCCATCCCGTCCTCCATCAGGGGGGGCTGCCCATTCGATTGCTCGTTTCTTCGAAACTCTTTGATTCGCTCCACCACTGCGTTGAAGAAGACTTCATCGAGCTTTTGTTGTCGATTCACGATAGCATGGGCAAAGTCTCTGAAGGGACCCTTGGTCGTGAAATCATGGGTGATCTCCTCTTGGTTGTACATGGCAAAGTTGCTTCCCTTCGAGGGCAATTTCGAGGACTTGGCTTCGAGGCAACCCTTGCACGAACCCCAAGCAGCATAGGCTTCGGCCGCGAACTCTGCCCGAATGTCGGATGACCAAAGATCCCCAGGGCCGACGACTGCTTGAAGGACTTGATTGATGCAATCCAAACAATTCTTCTTCCTCTCAGCAGTCCTCGCGGAAGAGGTGGCCTTTCCTTTCCTCGGGAAGGCAGGCTGAATGTATCAATTGAAACTTTGAACATGTTCCTAGTAGCGTCCTTGTTCCTAGTAGTAAGGCCAGGAGCCCCTAGTAGCGTCCTTGCTCCTAGTAGCGATGCCAGGAGCCCCTAGTAGCGTCCTTGTTCCTAGTGTGTTGTGGCTACTGAGCAAAATACAAGTACCGGACTATGGATCCATACCGCCCTTCAAGGGATTCTGCGGCAGGATTTTGACCACAGATCACAATGTGTCGCTGTCGGAAGATGTCTCTCAAGCCCTCTGTCAGAAGACCAGTCTTCCTAACATCAAAGCTAAATGCCAAGCAGCTCGTAGTAGCCCGTGCAGAAGTTCCGCAGCACATCCCACATGATCGTTGCCATCAGCTTTGCCTGGAGCTGATGGAGAGTCATGTATTTTTCAAAGACCCCCCGCGACAGCTTGTTGTATGTTTGCTCCATATTCATGATATGATGCCCAGGTTTCTGCATGCTTTAAAATGCGGAGCTGCCGAAGAAAAAGGCTACGCCAAACATCTTTCAACTGGAGCCTTCCCCATGGCGAGACACCGCAATGTTGCCCAGTTGCCCGAATGAATGCTTGAGCAAACTGGCAATCGAGTCAAGACCTTGCACCATCCATGCTGAAGCTAAGACCTCTTGCACATGAGGGAAGCTTGTGAATCATAACATAACGTGATCTCCGTTTAAGGACTTTCATGCCTTTAACTATTTCTAGAGGTCTTGTAAGATTTGTAAGGACTTGCTCGACATACTCCGCCTTCGCCACAAAGCGCCTTGGCGTGCTGCCTGCAGATATACAAGGTCAACAAGCCGTTGTGCATCAAGTGCAGCTTGAAAGAACAAGTCGAGTGTCGAGAAAACCATTCTTGTTTTTTCAAAGAAAACTGTTTTTCAGACCAAGAAGGAACCTGATTTAGGGTTCAGCATCCACGACATCACCAGGAAGGGCCTCCCGGAGGCCCAAAAAGCTCCGCGCGAGTAGGAAGGCATCCGTGATCTTGGGACAAACAGTGTCAAGCAAGGTCTCTCCTAAAATCAACAAACACCAATTCCTTAGATTTCCTTCGGACCCTTTGTAATTGTTCTCGAATCATTATCAAAGGGTTGACATTTTAGAGAAGCAACATTGAAGCCCCTAAGTCAAGTTCTAATGGGTCAAATTTGACGTGCAGTTCCGAAAAGGGTGAGGGGACAGTAGCTAGTCTGACCGCAAAGCCTTCAGCCCACCCGAAGTGATTCTCGGTCCGTCTGTTCGATCTGGTCTTGGGTGTTTGCACTCCAAGGTCGGGGGTCACGGTCACCCTCGTTTCAGCTGCAGCTGTCCGCATTAGCCTCTTTCGCCGTTGAAACATCTGAGCACTTCAACTGGTCGATGGCCATCAGACTAGATCTCTGCCACCCCACGTGTCTCCAGCCCTTACGATCAGAAAGGCTCTCTTTTTGGTTGATGCTTTTCTGCTTCACAAATTCCCTGCGGAGGATCCAGTTCGCAGTACGTCCAAGGCTACCGCCAATGGTCGCAGCACTGTGTTCGCCCGAGTTTCCAGGAAGCCCTGGCAGGAGGACATCAGGCGGCGCTTGATTTTCCCGCTTTGTTTTTCTGTCTGTTCTTTTTTCAGTAGACGTTTGGACTCTAGACCTGTCTTTTTCCTATTTTAAAGAAGAAGCTACTAGATCTACTAGTAGCAAAGGGCATCGCTACAAACCTCTACTAGGAGCGTTCGGACGCTACTAGGGGCTCCTGGCCTTACTACTAGGAGCAAGAACGCTACTGTAGTGTTCTTCGATCCCTCGGCAGAACCGATCCGCCTGCAAGCGTGCATCGTAATGCAAATGCTGAAAGCCCAGGAGCTTCAACGTGCGGCTCCGTCCGGCACACATGCTCAAGCACCTCAAGGTATCCAAAAGAAAGAGGCTTCAGATCCTCCAAAATCCCAAGCATTAGCTGGGAGTGTTGCTTCCCTGTTTGGGACACACTTGGTACAGCAACATATCTTGGAAATTCCACATTTTCCCAACGTGCTACTGCCCCCAAATCCCTAACATGTGTATTTAAAAGAAGACGTGCGTTCACTTGTTGTCACCACAAGAATCTGATCGACCTAACCCTTCCTTACCAGCTGCACACTTCACCTCCCATCCTTTGATCAAGCAGCTCCCCCAGCCCAGCAATCTCTTCTTCGACCAAGCCCTGCCGAGAATTTCCGGTCATACGGACACAGCAAACAACAGATTACTGTAGGCGGTAGGCGCAAACGCTTCCAAACCTGCTTTCTACGGGCTGGTAACCACCAATCGTGGTTCATTTAAGGCATCCGTCGTTTTGTAGTCACAGATTTTTGCTACTCGGAACAAGTGCATCGCTTCTAGTAACAAGTGCCTTACTAGTAGTAACAAGAAGCTACTCGGAACAAGTGCATCGCTTCTAGTAACAAGTGCCTTACTAGTAGTAACAAGAAGCTACTAGGAACAAGTGTGTACAAGGCGTCGGACATCTGTGTCGTGGGTGATTTTCGGTCGAGCGACACCGTCTCCGTCTCTCGTCAGTGAATCGCTGTGCATTCGCTCGACGACATCAACATCGCCACGGCTTTGCCTTTTGATAAACCGCTTTGATTGCGGAATCTTGGATTCATGGTAAGGGTTTGTTTTAATTAGTTTTCATCTAACCAAACCAGAGGTCGACCTTTGGGTTCTCAGTTCTCACACTGTTTCTCAGTGGACCACTTTTGCGAGACACGAGCCATGCGAGTGCGGCAGCACAATGCGGCGGGTGTGGCTCTACCGCTTCAAAATATTATAACGGTTTCAGCCGGAGCAAATGTTAATAGCTCGGCAAGTTAGTCAAACAAACTGTACCAGAGCAGGTGCGACATGAACGGATGGATGAAGACCAAACGATACCGGTGGAGTTTATTGCGGGTGTCTAGCCCCATGCCTTCTAGACCTCCACTGCACATACGTTCACTGTGAACAGAAGGTGACCATGCCTCATTGATTGATATGTTCCTTACAGAGAGATCTATGTCCTTTTACCGTCCTTTTCACAGCCAGCAAGCAGTATTAGTGGATCGTCGTCAATTCGGGAACATGTAGGAAAGGAAATTCCCAGAGCTCACGCAGGCTTGCCAAAATGAGATTTGTCAAAAGCGACAGTTCTTGTATGTCCATAATCCATACCTTTCATTCCCCCTTCTCCCTTCTCTCCATCTTCTCCAAGAAACACACACAAAGAAAGAAAGAAAGAAAGAAGGCCAGGCCAGGCCAGGCCAGGCAGGCAGCGCGCCTCCATCAGCCGCAGGTACACGGGGCATGGCACGTCGGCCAAGCCTGCGAGACATTCCGTGAGACCGAGATGTTCCACGTGGAAGAACTTCTTCCAAGCAAGTACTGTCAAACTCACTGATGGGCATGCAGAAAAGTTGGAGTGGTGTGAAGCAAACAAGCGCAGCACACTGCTGTAGTCGATTCTCAGATTTTAGGTCAGCAGGTGTTCCAAGTCAGCATTGATATACTGGGCCACCTCCAATAACGTTAGACTTTCCATGGACTCCAAACACTACGACATCTGCATCCGTGGTTTCGGGGACACCAACAGGAGATCACGTTCCCGCCGTCTGCCTCCGCTCCCACTTCTACTCCTCGGTTCGAGCTGAAGATCGGCTCGGGTGGGGTCAAATGACATGTCATGACCAACGATCTGTGATCCTTTTCGAGTCCAATTTGGAGCGGCGTAGCTCGATCCGCTTCACTAGCGCAGAGGCGATCGACCGTCTTCCGGAGATGGTGCAGAGGCTACACCAAACGTGCCCCAAAAACTACCGGACCCCTCAAGAAGAACGTGGATCCCAGAAAACACAACACCTGCTCGTAGGACCACCTCGGGACAAAGCTAGAGATTGGGCCGGAAACTGCAGGCAAACGTCTCAACTTGGGCAAGGTCATAGTGATTCTCTTCTGAACAGGCATCTTCTACTCAGAGTCTCTTATGTAACAATTTGGCAGAAGCTTCAAGAATAGATCATGACCTCCCCCATCAAAGACACCGAATTATTTTCTCATCAGTGCTCTGAGCGTTATTCTTGTCCTTTGGAACCGTTTGAACTTGCATCCCTTTCGCCTGAGGCCCCATACACAGGACTGGCCGAAGGGCTGGGGCTTCCAGTCTCGGCACTCCTCCAATCGAACAAACACACTTCTGCTTTTGCCTGTCCCATACCCTGTCATATTGACCAAAGGAAACGAAACGTCGAAGGTTTTTGTGACGTGGTGGGTTGCATGGGTTGCAGGTCTGACTCCACTCTCGTGTGACTCGTGGAAAACGGATTTGAGGACCGATCCGATCTGCGCCGACGAATCCCGGGATTCGACATCCCGGACCGCCGAGAAGGCGAAAGGTTTGCAAGCCCGTACTTGATGAAGTAGGTAGGCGCCTATTTAGTTAAGGAGGTAAGCTCCTTAAGTAGGGGCACCTACTTAAGTAAGCTCCCAGCTAGGATGTAGGATAGCTCACGTTTCTTCAAGGAAGCTCCCCCCACCTGAGTGCAAAAAGGAGCTTCCTTGAAGAAGCGCTCGCACTGATGATTTGGTTCCTAGATTTTTAGGGAAACTTAACTTGTAGCTTCTAGTAGCGATGGCCTCCAACCTAATAGCGATGGCCTCGACCTAGTAGCTTCTAGTTACTAGTAGCTTCTTGCTACTTGTTTACACCCGTCTACCATTGCTTGCGGACCAAACAATCCAGTCTGTGGACTGCACAATTTCCCTGCAAACTACCCAAAAGAAAGTCACATGGAAGGAAAGTCTGTGTAGCACATCTCTGCTTGACCCATCTCTGTCTTCCAAGTTCTTCAGGGTGCTCCGTCTGAACTATGCTTGAGTCCGACTGAACTGCAAAATATACATGAGTTCTCTGCTCGAACACCCCTTTTTGTTTTCTACGCTCTGCCAAGTAGCGCCTGAGGATGGTTTTAAGTTTAGGTGTTGTCTTCCAACAATAACGGCATGAAAAGATCCCTGAGAACCCTGAAACAAATGGGAAGCCAAAACACCAGGTTTGCAGCAAACATCACCAATCCACCCTCAGGTTGGTCTTCTGAAGACCAAACGTTGTCAAACTGAGAAGCAATTGATCACTCTGCAGGATAGCCAGTGGTCCGATGAGCGAAAGAGCGCTCGCCTTTCGACGGCTGGCCCCACAAGTGGTTAGAGTGGAGGCCATCACTCTTAGGTTCCTAAGAAGCTACTAGGAGCAAAGGGCATCGCTTCTAGGAGCGTTCGGACGCTATTAGGTTCCTTTTGCTACTTGTATTAGGTTGGTTCTGGCAACATCTGGTCCTCCGTTTCTTCGGTGTTCTTTCTTAGGTTGGAGGCCATTGCTATTGCTTTTGTTTCCTTTGTTCTCTTTGTTCTTTCTTTGTTTGACCAGAACAACTAAGTCCTTTTCTTCCTTTAAAGAGTTCGCCAACTCTTCAACTCTTTTGGGGCACAGCCATGGCGCTGCGGCGCTGTGCTTAAAATTTCCGCCAAGTGACACCAACGTGTGGACCAATTGAGTTAGAAAAAAACTCCGAACAGGACACACACGCGGCACCGGCACATAAATGCTGGCATGTTGTGCGCAGATCCTTGCCTAAAAGAAAACAGGGCATCATGCAAGGACCTTGAAAGTGGCCTTTCCGGTGAAATCGATCTCAGAATGGAATGCTTTTTGGTTCTTCGCGCTTTCAAAAACCGTCCAAAAAGGGGCACGTTTTAGCACCGAAGGCCATCCGAAAATCAACATCGGACACTTCCATCAAATTAGTACCTCTCAATGTCGCTAAGCTTAGGCTGAGAGGAAGCTTTTGGGCAATAGGCGGTATACTAACCCACCTGGGCAAGTTCAAAGTGAAGCAAAGCAGCTGCCTGATGCCAACTGTTCATTCCTGGTGGAGATGTACGTGATGCTAATTGAATGATCTTTATGATATTTCTCGTTCTTTGGCCATCGCTTCTAGGTTGGAGGCCATCGCTATCAGGATGCTTCGCTCAAGCAAGCTAGAGGCTTTTCTTTGAAGGTACCTGGCCGCCACTCTGTACACTACCAGGTCCTTTTGTGCAGGGAAGCGTTAAAGCACAAGGACTGCATACGGACAATGCCTTTTGCCTGAGCGCTCCAATGAAGTGGCAAAAGTTATCTGCCATCATTTGTTGTTTGCAAAGGTTTCAAAACTCTGCTTAACATGTGTTGAACGACATTTGATAGGTTTCCACTTCATGTACAACCTCATGGCAGCCCCCCCCAAGCATCGCCGGTGCCTTTCCCTTCCAAAGGGTGCTTGCAGTCAAGTTGTACTCCGAAACACTCCAACAGTCAAGTCGCTTGTCTTCATGATTTCGCACTTTTCGTGTCACACGAGCGCCAGCTCAGGGTCCTTTGAGTCTTCCATGGTCTTCCTTTCGACTTTGACCAGTCAATCTGGTTGAATCTTTGATCCTCATTGTGAGTCGGGGCTGCGGTCCTCGCATGCGCTCTCAAACGCGAACTCATGAGGTTGACGAGTCGATGAGTCGACTGAGATTGTATTGATTGAAAAAACACGAATGGACAGCCTTGGAGGCCATCTGGGGAAAAAACGTATGGACAGCCTGCAATTGCAATGCTATGTATTCGTTGCGATTCGTTGCAAAACGGGCAGTTGGCACGCGCCGCAATGAATCTGAGAGATCAACTGATCCCTCCATGTTTGTAGGAAGCCTTTCAACCAAAGGTCTCATGCAAAGGTCTAGTCATGTTCAACATGTTCATGTTTGTAGGGCTAAACGCCCAAACCCTCGGCTCCCAAATTGTCTGCCATCTGAATTCCAATCTATTGGTTGTCTATTCATCTGACTATACCGAGCGCTAATGAGAAAGGAATTGGCTGGGCTAGTGACATAGGATTTGTGGGCCACTGCGATGGGCCACTGTGATTGAGTCATCAGTCAGTAGACAAGGTTGCCAGATGAATGTAGTACACAGCTTGATGACATAGGAGTTGTGGACGTTCTGCCAGTAAATAACTAAGAAACAACATTTAAAAAAAAATGCATACAGCATATATATATATACATAATAGAATACTGTGCCCAAGGAGGAATATGACTGATGAAAGCTTCATGACTTAGGTACGCTCCCAGAGTTTTTCCAGCTGCCTGAGCTATTTGATGTTCTTGCCGCCCTGGTTCTTCATGTTTCTTCTCAAACACATATCTACATATACAGTGTGTGTATATATATATAATGTCGCGATATGCCATGTGGCCATGTGGTGACATGTTCCTGGGTCGTCCTGAAAGCATGCAATCTCATGCATTTATGAGATAACATACATGCGTGTGCCAGGGTCATGCTTGTATGTTTTGACCTGATGAGGGTCATACATGTGTGTTTCTTTTTTCGGCTCTTTCCTGATGACGTAGGTGACGTTTTCTCACCGGTTCACAAGTCCTATTTCACTTGCCTTCGGTATAGTCTATCTTGAGAAATTAAGGCCTCTCATCCATGACGCCATTTCGATTGGCCCTGAACATCGGCGTCGGGAGTGACGGGCTCCTGGCCTTACTACTAGGAGCAAGGACGCTAGTAGGGGCAAAGGGCATCGCTACTAGG